TAATTAAATAAATTTCATATGACTTAAAATTTTTTCTAAAATTTAATTTACATTTTAAAAGGTACTTAATTTAATAAATTATTATTTAATACATTCAATTTAAATGTTGAATTTGATTATCAAACACTTTCTATCTGATGCCCGAATCATCCCTCAATATGTATATGCTTGTACAACCTGAATCATAGGGAGAAGTCTCCATAGGTTTAAGGATTGGCCACAAGGGGAAGGAACAAATGCCTCGTTTAGTATAATTGTGGGAAAGTGATTATAGATTATAACTTAACAAATTATAAATTATAGTTTTAAACATAAGTTGTTAACCTATTTAGTATAGTTGTGAGATTATAGATTTAATCAGCAAAGTAATGTTTGCTTGAATAAGCTATAAAATAGCTTTTTGCTGTGTAATATTTTTTTTTGCCCTTATAAGATATAAAATTTGTGATTTCATTTATAATACATTTTTTTTCATTTTATTTTATTCTCTTTTCTTTTTCTCCTTATTTTCTTCTCTCTCTCTCTCTCTCTCTCTCACTCTCTCTCGTTTCTTTGTTAATTTTGTTTAATTTGTTTTCATTAGTGGAAGTAAATTGTATTTTTTTTATTATTATTTTTTGATTACACAATACCAATTAAGAATATAAAAATTGTTAAAAGAAGTTTGCCCTTATATAAAAATTAAATAATTAAATAATTTATTATAAAAATTATTCATTAAAAACCAATTAATAAAATACTAATTATTCATTAATAATTTGTTTTTCATTACACAAATACCAATTAATAATGCACTTAATATTCATTAATGGAAGTTTGCCCTTACATTCATTTTTTAATTTATTAATTTTTTTTAATTACAAACCCTAATCCCACCGCCGGTAGCTCTCTCCTTCTCCTCCTTCTATTCCCACTGCCAGTAGCCCCCTTTTTCTCTTCCTCCTCATCCCACTGTCGGCAGCCATTGACTGTCAAACCCTAGCCGCAATCGCAATTAGTATGAGATCGCAGAAGAGAGAGAGAGAGAGAGAAAGAGAGAAGAGATCGCAATCGTCACCGTCAGGCTACGAGTTGAGATCGTCACTGGCAGTGCTAAGGTTTCAGATCGATTGCAAAAAGAGATCGTAAAAGAGAGAGAGATCACGATCGTCACTTTGAGCGATCACGAAGAGAGAGATCGCGATGGTTAAGGTTTAAGCTCTGGTTCAGGTTTAAGCTCTAGTTCAGATCACTCACTGTGAGCGATCGGAGAACACCGGGGAGAGAGAGAGAGAGAGAATGAGTGTTTTTGGTTTATATACATGGCACACTTGTAATAACTGGAAATTGTGAAGGGCATCTCAGTAATTGCACACCCCTCCGCATAATCTCAATTGCACAGGCTACGAGTTGAGATCGTCACTGGCGGTGCTAAGGTTTCAGATCGATTGCAAAAAGAGATCGTAAAAGAGAGAGAGATCACGATTGTCACTTTGAGCGATCACGAAGAGAGAGATCGCAATGGTTAATGTTTAAGCTTTGGTTCAGGTTTAAGCTCTAGTTCAGATCACTCACTGTGAGCGATCGGAGAACACCGGGGAGAGAGAGAGAGAGAGAATGAGTGTTTTTGGTTTATATACATGGCACACTTGTAATAACTGGAAATTGTGAAGGGCATCTCAGTAATTGCACACCCCTCCGCATAATCTCAATTGCAGAAGCTGCCTGGAGCAGCTTTCGATTCTCAGCTTATTTTTCTCTCAAAAAAACTCTTAGAAGCAGAAACAGCTTTTTCAAAGCTGAAACAAACAGTCCAAAATTATTTTTTCAAAGTTAAAAACTATAAGTTGGTCTAAAAAAGCTAGACCAAACACCTCAAAGTGTGATACAAATAATTTCAAAAGTTTGGCTTGGTGAATAAGGTTGGAATTTGAGATTTACTTCTTCCATAATTTTAGATTTGGCTCTTTTCATCAGCAAAAATTCTTAGAACCATAGACTGCAAGGTTTAAAATTTCTATTTCAGAAAACTTGCTCCGCTATAAGAATTTAATCTGAGTCAATGACACTTTACCTAAAAAATAATGATGAAAAAACAAAAAAGAGAGACAGATAGACGGGTAGTTGATGGCTTGGGTGATGACTCATTCAGGAAATAAGGTTTGGGCCCCACATATGTGGATGAGCTTGCAATTGGGCCCAGATTTGTGATATGGGGCCTTATATGGAAGAATTTGTTGACTTGGATTATAACAACCTTCTCCATCTGCCACATCAGTTCCAAAAAAGTGACAGATTTTTATTGTAAAAAATTATTATGAAATTTAACCTGTAATATGAATTACTTAGGCCTCTTTTCATTTTTATTTTTTTTAATTAAAGAGGCAAACTTTATATTATAATAAAACTAGCTGTTAAGCTGTGTAATGGACGTATTATTTTTTTTAAAAAAATATTTGATGTTATAATGTGTGTTATAAAAGAATTAAAATTAAAGTATAATTTTAATTATTATTTTGATAATATTGGTACTATCATTCTATAAAATTATTAGTTGAATATATATATATATATATATATATATATATATTAATTTTAGTTAAAATATTTGTGTATTTTGATACTTTTAATTCTATCGTATTATAAAAGAGTAATTATCATATAATAATTTTGTATGATAAAAAAATCCTTGAAAGAATTAAGAATAAAAATGTGAAACGCAAAATTAATATTGAGTTTGTGGATTATCTTAATTTACAATAAAAAATATAAAAAAAAATATTTATCAAATAGAATCCATATAAAATAGATAAAATTCGTATAATTTAACAAACTTTATATTATAATAAAACTAGTTGGCTACATAACATGGAGTAGCCATCCCATTATTGTCATTGCATACAAAAGTCCCTAAAGACAAGGTGGATTGGCATATATTATGAGGGAACTATGTTCATTTAAGAGAGCATAGTTAGGCCTAGTTTGGAAAGACTAAGGGGTTGTTTGGCATAGACTATATAATCCATCTTTTTATCTTTTTATCTTTTTTCCATCACACCACCTCTCTACTTTTCTGCACATCTTTTCGTAAAAAGACAAAAAGTGCACTTTTTTAGAACACCCCAAACCAACCCTAAATAAGTGTACTTTTTGATTTTTTTTGTATTATGTGTAGAAAAAGTAGAGAGGAGATGTTGATTGATGTGACTTAAAAAAGATAAAAAGATGAAATAAGTGCACTTTTTTCTTTGTAGCCGAACTTGGCCTTAGGCCAAGTTTGGCATGATTGAAAAAAGACAAAAAGTCAAAAAGTCACTATCCTATTTAAGTCACATCATCTTATTTAAGTCACATCACCTCTCTAACACATCACTTCAAACCCAACCCAAACCCAACCCATATTTCATAAAAAGTCAAAAAGTACACTTATTTAGTCTTCCCAAACTAGGCCTTAGTCAACATTTGTTCGTCTCACGATACATATGTAAAAATGAGATTTTAAATCTCTTTTAAGGATAGATGAGCAATCAAACAAATGGGTTGGATCCATGATGAAATACTATGTGAGGAAGATAAAAGCATAAGTGCAATTTTTGAGTCCGTTTGTCCCGCTATTGACAAAACTTAGACCTCTTTCACTTTTTAATGTTTTAATTGTTGTTTTACCCTATATCGTCTTTGAATGTGTCTATCAAATAGATAATAATTATTTCACTACTTGTAAAAGATTTTAAATTAAAAATATTTTACCAAGTAAATTATTTTACATTCAACCAAGTAGACTTTTAATTTATGAAAGCACATATAGTGACTTTTGAGTAGTTTTTCTTAAGGCAAAAACTAAACAAATCTCTTCTTTTAATTTTCAAATAATTTGATTTTTTAAATTTGTTTTACTTATTTTTATCTCTTAAGTAGTAAATAACAAGGATGATAAATGAACTAAACAATTCAACTTTGACTCACGTTCGGCTCATTAAAAACTCATTCAAGTTCAATTCCTTAATTGAAACTTAAACATATTGTAGAGTTCATTTAAGTTTTCAAATGAAATTTGAACAATCAATTGCTCGTTCGACTAGATTTCATGAGTCTAAAAATATTTTGATTTATTATCAATTTAAATTATTTATCTATTTTCATTAGTAAAATCAACAGAAAAAAATATTTTTTGTAATTAAACTTAATGAAAAAGAGTATTTTAGATATTTTATATATACTTACATTGAGTTTAATAACTCAAAAACTCTTTTTCTGTTATTTTACTTAACAAAAATAAATAAAAAATTTAGATAAATTTTTTTTAAAAAAATTGAGTTTAAATTGACAAAAATAAAAATTCAAGATTGATTTTGTTATAACTCAAATTCGGATTTTTTTTTGTAATTCACGATTCTAGATCTAATGATATATTAAAAAATAATTGATTGATATATCAATTCTTGACATATAATTTAAGTGATTTGGAGAGAAAAGAAAAGTAATTGAGGGATATGTATTTTTTTTACTTGTTTGGATAATTTAAGTAGAGAAAAATGAGAAGAAATGAAGAGAAATGGAGAAAAACTTATTTCTCTTATAACCCTAATTTTCAATCTTTTCAAAAGTAGAGAGATTGGAAGAGAAAAGAAACCAATATTTTCATAATGTCAATTTTGTCCCTGTAAAAATAAAAAAAATAAAATGATTGAAAATATAAAAAAGGTTATTTTGATAATATAACATAAAATATATTTTTTTTTCTTTTCTCTTATAAAATCTAACCAATCAAGGAGAGAAATCATTATTATTTGTTTTATTTTACTTTTTACTTATCCAAACAAAAAGAAAAAAAATCACAATTATTTCTTTTTTTTTTCTCTTATAATTTAAATAATTATTCCTTTTCTTTTTCTCTCATAAAATTTTAAAATAGTGTAAATTTATAAAACAAGTAAAAAATATCTTTTCTTTTCTCGAAACGCGTTTAGAAGATGAGGCGCACAAGGGTGGGTAGGCTAGTAAATAATTCAAATCGCAACTCGCCACTTTTTCGGGTCTTCTATCATTTCGCAGCGACTCTCACTTCCCTATCCAAAAATACCAGAATACATATAATAGAGAGAGAAGAGGTTGGCAGTAGTATTGAAATCTTGGATATACAAAAACATCAAATGAAGCACAGAGATGACTCTAATGGCGACAACAAAGTCCAAGATCAGTAATCTTCTGAGCATCTTAACAGCAACCCACAAAACGCCCAGTTTGGCTTCTGCTTCGTACTCTAATGGCGCTGCGAGAAAGTTTCGGGTCGCTCCATTTGGAGGTTCGGGTCGGTCATTATCGTCCTCGGTAGCTCCTCTGGAGTCGGACATGGTGAGTTTGAAGGATTACGAGGAGTATAGGAAGGCTCTGTATGGTGGCATCACTCACAAGGCTCTCTTGGTTGATGCTGTTGGCACTCTTGCTCTCCCCTCTCAGCCCATGGCCCAGGCATGCATCCCCCCCTCTCTCAAGAATTATGTACCCATTTCATTTCTCTTTATATTTCTCTATGTTGGGTTAATTTTTATTTTGTTTTTTAATCTCCTAAACTATCATAAAATTTGTTTTGTTTTGTTTAATTTCATTCTTAAACTATTAATTTGATTTATTTAGCTCTTAAAGTTTATAATTTCAGCTAATTATAAAAAAGAAAGTGTCCAAATTAATTACGGTTAAAATCTAATTTGATTTCAGGTGAAAAATGGTCATCTCAAAATTTAAACAACTAAACTAAAAACAAATTTTAAATTCACTATTTTGAAATGAAATATAGAGAAGAAGGTGAGTGTTCAAGGTGTAATGTTGAAAAGACATTTTTAGTCCCAAATTATGTGATGTTTGTCAGTTTAGTCTCTTAAAATTTAATTTTATTACTTTTATTCTCTAAATATCAATTTGAGTCAATTTAGTTTAATTTTAGGGTAAATTGTAAATATACTCCTAAAATTTGCTTAAAATACGAATTGCTCAATGTGGTTTGAGAAATTACAAATACCTCCGTGTTAGAATTTTTCATTTAACACAATTAATTGAAAAAGTGAAATTTCTACCTGTTCACCTATACAATAATAAAATTATTTGAATTATTAATTAAAATAAACTTTTAATGTTATTATAAATTATTAATTAACTTAATGATTTATTAATAAAATGAGATATTTTTTATGAAATTAGAAACCTTAGGGGCATAATGTAATTTCTAAAACCACAGGGGTAATTTGTAATTTAAGTAAACTTCATGTGTGTTTGTAATTTACCCTTAATTTTAACATCCGTTTACATTGATAACGAGAACCATATGAATAAAAACAGTTTTATTTAAGTTTCGATTTTATTACTTTGATCATCAAAATTGTCAATTTCAGTCTGTTTGGTCCTGTTTACCTTGCCGTACACAACATCTTTCACATTTCTTTCTTCTTTTTGTTAGTAACTCAAACTCCAAATCATGACCATCATAAGAAATAGATTAAGAGATCATTTGGGATGGGCTAATATAATTAAAAAGTTATGAAAAAAAGTCAAAAATTCATTCTCGTTCTCTACCTTTTACACAATGTTTTTTGTTTTTTTTGTTTATTTTTTTTTTTTTGTAAAAAAGTAAATGTTATTCCAAACATTTCAATTTTTTTACCTCACATTTTAGCCAAAAAAACTAAAATAATCAATTCTCAAACTAACCCTAATTAAAGTTGAGAGTAGCGGCTGATAGATGAAATTTGATTAATCTAGAAAGGTGTTATAGTCATTTAACCATTTCATTTGACGAAGGTAGCTAACAAGGGATGTCAGTGTAATTTTAAGGATCAAAGGGAGTGACACTGATATTTCAAAATAAAAAATAAAAACAAAGAGGGGCCTTCATGTAATTTACTCTAAAAACAAGGATACAATACTTTTCTCGTTATCAATATAGACGGACGTTAAATGATATGATCAAATTGACTCAAATTGACAATTTCGAGGACAAAAATGACAAAATTGAAATTGAAGGGACTAAAATGACAAGGAACACAACACATATTTTAGAGACTAAAACTGTATTTTACTTTTATTCCTCATTATTAATGTAGACAGACGTTAGAGTTAGGACTAAATTGATTCAAATTGACAACTTTGAGGACCACCGAGTTGAATAAATTTATAATTTTACCCTTAAAACTATGACACATGTCACTTATGTACATATTTTTCATAAAAAAAAAATGAATAGTTGTAATCAATTATACTAAATTGAAACAAAATCATAAATTTCAGGGTCAAAATAATGCCAACTAAAACAGGGACCAAAATGATAGGACCCAAATATAAGGAGGTGTTCATGGGTCGGTTTGGTTCAGTTTGGCACTAAATTTAGAACCAATTGGTTCCAAAATTTTGGATTCACTTATGTACATATTTTTCATAAAAAAAAAAAATGAATAGTTGTAATCAATTATACTAAATTGAGACAAAATCATAAATTTCAGGGTCAAAATAATGCCAACTAAAACAGGGACCAAAATGATAGGACCCAAATATAAGGAGGTGTTCATGGGTCGGTTTGGTTCAGTTTGGCACTAAATTTAGAACCAACCCAATCATGATCGGTTCCAAAATTTTGGATCCAGAACAAAACCAATCATGCACTAGAACCAACCCCACCCTACCCAACCCAACCGATATTAGTTCGGGTTGGTTTGGGTTAAAACCACGGTTCCACTATATTAAAAATAAGTGAATCAATCAATAATAAATAATTAAAATAAACAAGTCTATTTAAACATAATACAAATGAAAAAAAAATATTTAATGCAAATCAATACAAATTAAATGCAACCCAAACTTAAACATAAGCAATATCAATAAAATCCATTAATACAACCAATACAAATCAAATAGATTACGAAATTGACTCAAACTTCTAGTTCTTCCTTTGTTCACTTAAAAATTCTTGTATGAGGAAAATTAATAGGTGCAATCAAGTCTATTGTAATAGACCAATTAATATAAAAAAAATTCGACAAAAAAATGTATATATATAAATAGGTTCGGTTGTTGGATTGGTTCGGTTTAGGCAAGGCCTAAACCAAGAACCAACACAATCCTATCGGTTTGATAATTTGAAGATCCAGAACCAAACTAACGCACTCAAAACCCAACCCAACCCAACCCAAAGAGGTCGGTTTGGTTCGGTTCTTCGGTTCACTAGTTAATTTGAACATCCCTAGGGACTACCGTCGGAACTTGCTCTAGAAAATATGACAATAGTTTAGAGGATAAAGTTGAAATTAACCTCTGTACATTCAGAATTCATATATTTGTCAATGTAACTTACTTTCTCTATATACATATATATATGCATTAAATATATCTCATTGCTTTCTCTTTCTTAATGCCTTTATGTTGCAGATCTATAGACAGATTGGTGAGAAATATGGCGTTCAGTACTCAGAAACTGAGATATTAAACAGATACAGGAGGGCTTCTGAGCAGCCTTGGGGTAGATCTCGACTCAGGTGATTTATTGTCCTTGACAAGTTTGAACATATCATTGCTAGTTTCTGAATTAATTTAGTTTGCATGGTTGGATATTTTGGGAGTTACATAGAGGATTAAATGTGATTTTTGATGACCCATAGTTGATTCATTTTTGTATGATATCAAAAGCAAGAATAATACATTTCTTTTGTTTAAGTTATGATAATTAGAGAGATGGGTTCTGTGTGTCAATTGCATCTAATTATGTATTATGATTATGACCATTTTTTGCTTTATATAAGGGTATGCGTTCTTTTTCACCCACTTTAGGTTTCCTATTCTAACCATTGAAACAGAGAACTATGTAACTTGAACTTATTAATTAGCTCATTTTATACCAAACCTGTCCTTTTATCCATGTTAATTGAACATGTATAGAATCATTCAATTCTGCTATTTCGGAGGAGCCGGAATTTTCTTATGGTAAGACATGGGTCACAATTTTTTATATATAGGTCTCGAAACTAATTTAATCTTTAAGTGTTGTGGGTTTTTTTTCCAGAGAAAGCAAATTTGACATTTGAGGACTTTCTTATCTTTTCGTTTACTAGCTGGACTCAATTTGTCACCCTCAATAAAAGAGTCATTTATGTATTCAAAAAGTTGCTTTGTTGTTATTTTAATATTTTTTTTTGGTGATTATAGTTAATTTATCTATGTTGAGCTTGCATATAGTTGCTACACAAAATTGAACTTGTATTTCGTAAACTTATCTCAAATGTAAATGAGTGGCAAGATAAATCCATAAGTTAATCACTCGCTATTAGCTTTGGCTTTTAGAGTACTAGTTGTCTGATTACATGGTGATAGAGCCAGTAGAATCTTTATCAATTTGAAATCCTTCCTGGACCTTGGTTAGGTAAATCTCTTTTGTGAATCTATGTTACATGAACTTGGGTACAGGTGTCCGATGTGTGGATGTGTTTCTAGGGATCCAAATCTTAAATTTAAAGGCACACGGACTCGGCATAAAAAGGGTCATATTTATATATTTTAAATTGTTTATGTGAGATAAAATTATGTTGTTATATGTAACATTAACGTACATTGTCAAAAAGGTATTTTATGCCTTTTATAACTATTATACAACAAAATATATACATAATGATAGTGTTAAATACAAATATTATTAAATATATAAGTGTCTTGATAGAAAGTATGAGACACATAGCATACACCCTTGTCAAGGTGTGTTTGATTTAGTTTTAAGAGTCCAAGTAACATAGATGTGCATGCCTCACTCATGAGGGGTGTGGTAAAGTTTGAGGGGCACACGGTGAAATAAATATATGAATCACGTCATTCTATATGACTTAAACTTTTACAGTAATCGGTTTTTAATATTAGTTACTTTATTATCGCTTATCAAGATTGCATCTTGCACGGTCTTCCTGAAGATATATAAGATGCTATTTCTAGACTTTCTAATTGAAATTCTTCTAGGGCATTTTGTCTGTTCAACTCTCAGGACATTTTAGATATTGTTCCCCTTAATAGTATACAATAATACAAGTAGTAAAAAAGTTTCATCCCCCTTTTCTACGAAGGTAAAAGTTTTCTCCATTTGTATTTTGCAAAATATTATTTTCATCTAATAGGCGATAACAATTTATAAAAGTGTGTTTACTAAATTGCAGATGTGTTAACGATGGGTTAACATCGTTAATTGACACTTATACTACTTACTTTAACATCTTAATTTTAATTTAATTTTCATTTGTTTCTATCCAAAGGCATGGCACCTCTGTGATCCTGATGCGGAAAAAGTATTTAAGGCCCTAAGGAATGCAGGTGTAAAATTGGCTATTGTGTCAAACTTTGACACTCGATTGAGGCCTGTTTTGCGGGCCCTGAATTGTGATTGCTGGTTTGATGCTGTGGCAGTATCAGCTGAAGTAAGTATTGATCTATTTATTTTTTACTTTCATTCGTCCTATGGCATTGTTCAATTTCTCTCTTTCCCCATGAACAGGTTGCAGCAGAGAAGCCAAATCCCACCATATTTATAAAAGCTTGTGAGTGGTTGGGAGTAAAGCCTGAGGATGCTGTTCATGTGGGGGATGATCGTAGAAACGATATATGGGGTGCCAGAGATGCAGGTTGTGATGCTTGGCTATGGGGAAGTGATGTACATTCCTTCAAAGAGGTATCATTAACAACTTCACTTCTATTGCTTGCTAGCAAACTACATGAGCCACATGCCTTTTTGCTATGCATCTCTCTCTCTCTCTCTCTCTGTGCATTTAGCAACTGTTTTCTTTTGACTTGTTCCAGCTTCAGAATTCAATATGCTTTTGTTGCATTTATGTATGTTAAATAGCTAAAAGACCCACAAGCCCCTGCGGGGAGATCACTCAAAACTCTAAAGCTACATGATTATTTTTTTTTATTTTGGATTGGGAAAAATGGTAAAAATGTATGTGGCTTTGTTATACATATATTTTTGTAGGTTATATTGGGCTAGATAGTTTTGAATAATACTGATACAAGAACTTTGATAAGGTGCAATTGTATTTCATATTCTGCTATGGAGCACAGTGATGTACTAAAATAAAAGAGGATATCTTTTCGAATGTAGTGTTGTGTTGGTGTCAGTTACATGTCCAATACATGTTCAACATAGATAGGCAAATTTATCGCATGGTTATTGGGTGTTTTTACCTCGGTCTCACCAAAAGTGGGGTTAAGGGGTTAATCTTAATAAAATAAAATAAATAAAAGATAGGCAAATTTATGAGAATCTAGTGTGGATTTAACCCATGGCTTTGTGCCACAGTGGTATGGTCTACAATCCCTATAGTGAACATTGTGGGTTCGGGGTTCATGTGGTGTTGGGGCTGATCTTTTTTCCCTTTCTTCTTAGATTAGGCTAGTGTAGGTTCTAATGAGTGATGAAAAAAAAAAAAAAAATAGAGTGTGAATTTAAGTGATTATAAACAAAACAAAAATTGGAAAATAGTTGAGGATACAATATGTATCATATTTTATGATGGTGAATTGTGGTGGCTAAATTTTTCAATGTGGTGAACTTTTATTTACAAGGTGTACATGGTGTGTGCTGAGATTCACAAGGCTGCTGCTAAACATTTGGGTACCATTTCGCAACGTTTACAGTTTACTGTTTTTTATTTACAAAAAACATTAAGCATGTTTATATTTATTTTTGATAAAAACAGTTGAGGAAGGTATTGGCCGAAGGTAGTTGACGGAGGAGGTCATTAGTGACGGTAGCCAATAGCAGGGTGGGTTTGGAGCGGATTTGTCATCCTCCACCCCCACCCCCACCCCCACCCCCACCCCCACCCCCACCCCATATCATAGTGGGGCAGGGCGAAAGTGAGGGGAGGGACGCAAGTTAATTTTGTAACTTTACAAATAATTTTTTAAATAAAATTATCAATAATAATTTATAATTAACGAGTGTTAAAAGATGTATTATAATAAATAAATGAGTGAAAATGAATACTAACTATAATATTTTACTTTTATTATATTGAAAAAAAATTAAGGGAGATTTATTTATAAATCCCTTTGAGTAGATTTATAGCCCAATAAATCCGTAAGGTTTTATTGTGTTCTATCAAGTCCCATATATTTAGACTTGTATTCCACGAGGTCATTTTTTTCCTGATTTATAATTTGTTTTGGACTATTATACTCTTTGTTCTATTTTGATAGTACATATTATACACAATAAGATATATACGTTTTTTAGATTTTGTTATTTCTATGTTGGAAGTTTTGGTGATAGGATCTTGGAGGAATCACTACATATATATGTATATATGTTTTCACAACATAGCTTCCGTTAGATAGATAATTAAATGTTCACATAAGTATGTCACAGATACAGATTTTCATCACCCTTACACGTACTACGAATGAATGGACTGAAGTGGGAATGAAATGAGAGTGAGAATGAAATATAAAGTTGAATGAAATGGAATATCTATTCTCATTTCATTGTTTGGTTGCCAACATGGAATGACATAAGAATAAAATGATAATTCTCATCCTCATATTTAGTTATGACTGCTAAACTAATTGAATGAAATAAGTTTTTATTTATTATTTATTTATTTTTAATAAGGTAGTAACAAACAAGTTAAAAATTTATATAAATCATGATAGTGTTGATAGTTGTAGAAGAGATGGTGTGAGCCATGGTAGTGGTGGCGACAGTGACAGCATCATTAGTGGTGATAGAAGTGATAGTAGGGTGGCGGCGGCGGCAATGGCGGACAACGTTATAGAGTGGCAGTTCTCATGATAGTTGTGGTCGTGTGGTTTTTGTGAAGGTGGTGGTAGTGGTGGTAAGGTAGTGGTTGTGGCGGTGGAGACAATGGTGGTGGTGGTGGAAGCAGTGGTAGTAGGGTAGTGGTTCTAGTAATAATGGTTGTAACGGTGGTAGTGGTTTGGTGGTTGTAGGGGTAGTGGTAGTGATTGTGGTCACAACGATGGTAAAGTGGTCGTGGTATGGCGATGTGGTGGTTGTATGGTAGTGGTGGCAATAGGGTTAGGGGGGTGGTCGGAGTGTTGGTGATGGAAAAAGATAACTAAGGACAAATTTTTTTAGAGAAAATGTGACATTTTTGGGTGTTCCCAAACAGATATGGTCCTACTTTGTAATGAGGCCTTGTTAGGGAAGGTGGGTTTATAGCTAAAAAGTCACTATAAATTCTTACATTACTCTTTATTTTATGCATTTTTTTTTTTTGGGGGGTGTAAAAAGTTGAAAAGAAAACTATAATAACTTATTCCTAAACAGCTCCTAAATAATTATGTGTACATAAATAGAATTTTAATTTAAAAGTTCAGCAGTATAACCAATGTAATGAAAGAAAATAAAAATCGTAGCACGTTCATCAAAATGAAAGTGAATGATGATACACTGTTGCTGCTTTTGCAATTGTAGCACGTTCAGAAGTCTCACAAGTTTCTTCATTTTTTCCTTCCTGTTGCTGCTTTTGCAATTGTTCTTCTTGTTGCTACAACAAAGGAATACACAAAAATAAACAAATAAAATCAATTCTTCTTGTTGTTGTTGCAACATAGGAATACCGAAAAATAAAAAATCAAGCAACTTTGATTGATAAACAAATACGGAAAATGTAAACCCAACCCCCAGTTCCATCATTCCCCAAAAAAAATAAAATAAAATAAAATAAATTCCACCAGAACATGGTGCATAATAGAGGCAACTGCCATTTGGGGCAACATGGTGCATAAGATTATTTTAAACTTATTATGACCAAATTTAAACTTATTATGACCTGTCGTTTCATACCATAAATTATTTTTTTAAGTAATTATGGTCATATTTTTTTTTTATTTTTTATTAGTTTTATTGTTATTGTTATTATTAATTTGGTTGATATATTTGTGCAGAATATGGAGGAATTAGGTAGGTGGTCAAACATAAGATATGGATGATGTTGTGGAAATCATGACATGTTGAGAAAATCATAGCCTATTGAGGAAATCATGGATTTAGATTATCTCTCTCTCTCTCTCTCTCATGTGAATAAACCTATAAATAGGTCAAGAGAGATACAAAGAAGACATCCAACACAACTCTCACAATGTGAATTCTAGGAGTAGTTTCTATCTAGGAGTAGTCACTTATCATTTTAGAAGTAGATCAATAGCTTGTTACTATTTCTCTGTCAATCAGTGTATTTCTTGAGTGTTTGTTCTTGTTTAAGTTCATGTGACTTGTGACAATTCCATTTGATTAATACAAATTCAGTTCCTTTGTTTCTCTATATTTCTTCTTTACTTAATTGCCTCCAAAGAAGTCCTTAATTTGTTTAAGGCATAGAACTCAACCAAGTTCGATTTGTTTTGTTTTGTAAAAACTAAGTTTTGGCTTATGTCGATTGACCTTAACTAAATTTTTGCTAACATAAATTGGCATGCTTGGTGGGACATTTCTAATTTGGAGTTATGGGAATGAAGAAGTACACTGATGTATATGGAATCATGCCTTCAAGTGGCATGTTTACATCCTGTGCACCTATGGATGCAAACTGCCAAAGGAGTGGCAGTGTTTCCATATATACAAATTATCAATGGAATACCTCATATTCCATGTCTAAAGATTGTCAATGTTATGGTGGTGGTTCTACTATTTATTACCAACATAATGGCATGACAAATGATGTAGAAAGAATGATTTGGCATTGTAAGAATGAAATTTATTAGTGCGGGAGCGAAACTTTGGCCCTAAAAGAAGAAATTAATTCTCTTTACATACAAATATTTCAAATAATTTCATCATCTCTATATTGTTTGACGCAAACAGATTTAAATTACTTCAATGAAAAAATTCATCAACTTGAAGGCCAAATTTCCCTAATTGATGAAGAAATTTGATATTAGAGGCAAAAATTAGAAGGCATAATAATGGCTAATAAAAAATTAAAGTATGAAAATAATGTGGTTCGAGAGGTTAATATACCTATTTTTAGAGAGCCAATTATTTATGAAGTGCCAAGATATGTGACTCAAGAGGTTAATGCACCTACTTTTAGAGAGCTAATTATTCATGAAGAGGCAAGATATGTGGCTGGGGGTTGATATACCTGTTTTTAGATAACCAAGTCGTAAAGATGAAATGACTAAGGAAGGTTTTCATAAGCTATTAATGGTCAAAAAAGAACAACCCGTTCTCTAAAAAAATATTAAAAATACATCACAAAATGATGGTGAAAATTTACTTGTGAGGCATGATTTTTTGCCAAACATGACAATGAGTGGTGAGGCATTAATGGCTAAAAAGGAAAAACAACTAGATTTCTCAAAAAAATATTAAAAATACATCGTAAAATGATGGTGAAAGTTCATTCAGGGGGCATATTTTTAGCGAA